TCGATCCTGACCTTTGTCATACCGGAACTATAACTATAGATTCCATCAAATCACACATTTGTCAAAGGGTGCGTGCGTCTATAAAAGGCGTATTACAATGTGCTCCAGGTGTCACGTGGCGCCATAATTGATAGAGCGCACAGGCCCTGAAATGATCAAATTTTCAATTGATACGTCCATGCAGTACAATTGTATTTTTCTAAACATAACTAAACAACGCTAGAATATAAAATTATAAAAAAAAAATATAAAAAAACGCTTCGTCAGCATAGTCCAACGTTTACGAAGCAGCTAAGTAACGTCTAAATACTGATCACCTATAATCCTTTATAACTCTAGCTAGCTTACCGAAAACAAAAAGCTAACAAGTCGATCAATATAATAACAGTTATGATAACAAAATATGGCGCCTCAACCCTTTTGCATCCAGGTTTAAAGGAAGCACTTGGTCAATACAGTTGTCATATAACAAGAACGAGAAGGGTTGATCTGTGCACGTCACAGGCGAGGTCACTCGAACATGACCGCACTTGCTACCCCATGTGAGGATCCGGTGTAAGGATGTTCTGAGTACTCATATAGCCAAGTTCGTAGAAACGCTGCTCACCAATGACCGCAGCATCGTATCATTATAGGATTGCCAACTGACGCAATTTTACTACGACGGTTAAAAGCTACTGCAGAGTGGAGCATGGTAAATTCCGAATGCACGACCGTTTCTCGTTCCTGCAAAATTTAGTCAATACATGAGTCGTCCAGACCCGATGGGTCTTAACGAAGCTCTTACGGAGCTAAAGATAACGGGCCACCGAGACTGTTTAGTATCGGGCCGATAGCGTCACCGACACCGTACGAAATAAGCTTTTTTTCGGATTCGGCCGACTTACGGGAAAATCTACCGAGAGAAATAATATCGACGAAGCCGAAGTGATAGCCTGAAGCCAGTGCGTCTATGACGGTAAGTGAGCAAGCAAGCAAGCACGCGATTAGGCAGCTTTTCTAAAAGTAAATCACACAAAACATTGAAAAAAATAGTGAATTTTAATGCGAAATACCCTGAGCGGAATAAATTTTCCAGACAGACTAATCTCAAACTGTCTATGGAGTTACACAGTGCGTCATATGCGTTGTATGTTGCACTAGGGTAGCAATTTGATTTTTCGCGTAATGAGATGCTAGCAAAATCATGGAATCTCCGCCTCTACACAAACCAACCGCGTAATGCGTAGCGCCTTCTAAAGGTTAGCTTGGGCAATCTTTTTTAGCATCTCACCCACGTTCACATGCATATACTTTATAGGTATCTACAATTTACCACATGATGTTGAAGGATATGTTAGACAGCCAAGCATTGCCCAGTTTTTCAAAGGTCAGAGGTCCGAAGTCTTAGCCAGGAGAAAAATTAAATTCAAATTAAAAACACACTCTAATAGAGTGTGTTTTTATTTTCCTTCATATGCTGAATTCACTAATGTGAACGTGGTTTAGATGGCTACCAAACATAACATATATAATAATATGTATAATGTGTCGGTAGGCCGAAATTTGTACTATGAGTCTGCATTGTTCAAGTCCAATAGCAAATAGCGTTTTATTCGCATACACCGGTAGGAACGAATTCGATGCTAAACCCTGATATAATAACAAAATTAATAACAAATGATTCAAATATCATGTGTATATTTAAAAAAGAATTATGTCAGTGCGTGTTCTATTAAGTATTTATATGTGCTGGCCACCGCGATGTCGAGCGGGGATTTTTCAGCGAGATCTCAGCCGCCCAGGGTGTACGCGGCCGATCGCGACGTAAAATATCCGAATATCGTAATTGGTTCATAGGTGTTCCAAAAGCACCCCTATGATGGAGGCCACCTTTCGTTGGACGATTGGTATGCGGGCAACGAGCGTGGTAAATTTCCCTAAAACCTCGAAAAAAGGAGACTATAAGGACATTAGGCGGACTACTGCCACAGATCTCTCTAAAAGTAGCCACTTAGCTGAGGGAAAGGAACGACACTGGCGACGTATTTAATGTTTCCTGGTCGATTCGAATAAGCGCCAAATCAATAGGTATGTGTGCGTGTGTGCTTGAACTATGTGCGATTGTGATCCCCTGACAACAGGGGCTGGATAAAGGGGGGGGGGGGGGAACTCTCGTGCCCTTCTTATGAAGACTTGCCCCCAGCTTGCGTTAGGCGTGACCGTGCATTCTAATTAGTCAAACGAGAAACGAGCCTCGAATGGGTGGAGCCGTCTGCGGAAGCTATGGCACCGGCGCGAGTATCAGCTCCATTATACTAAATTACGATTCAAATCACAAGCTATGGCTTGCTTTATCAAAGCAGACATAGCAATCGAAGGATGAAATGAATAAATCGATTATGACTTTAGTGACTATATATTTACGGAAAGTATTCTCGTGATAGTGCCATCTGGTCACGTGGATAACGTTCTTGTGAGACGCTCAGCCCACTGTGTTGTTGTTTACTGCGACTTGTACAGTTAAAACTGTGCAGATGTACAGCATTAGTCGGATAGAAAAAAAAGTGAGCATTTTCGGATTAACTGAGTTCAGCGTGTTTACGGTAGGGATTTTTGTCTCTCTCAATCCTCTGAATAGTCTGAAATTAGAGCACGACAGAACGAATTAAAACCTATCAATTCTAAAACACAATCACCTTTACTGTTTGTTTCGCTGCACCTTATAACGCTCTTTATCGAAATATATCCTATATGTTATGCTGCAGTATACAAAACAATACATTATAGATATAAGCTGCGTTGACGATCAACCGTGTTTCTCTAATTGTATTTCGATGAATACCCGTAATGAACTTACGCTTACCATTAGCGCACGATAAACCGTAACGGACAAATAAAATAGCTGGTAGATAATAAATGCCGTACTGACACAGAGGATCACAGCGCACCCAACACGCGTCTAGGCGTATAGTGGTTGTTTGGTAGAAGGCTCGTGCCGATATTACCGTTGACAGTAATGACAAATCATCTTTACCTTCCACCTATTCGTTATCTTAATGGAAGCAAACAATTAATGAATATCCAATAAACACCTTTCTGGTTTTAGTTGTCGCTGCTGTTATTGATTTTGCTGTCAACCCCAATCCGGCGAATCCCTCCCTTGAATGTCGACACAGCCGACCTGAGCAATAGACAACAGGTGTGGGAGTACAGCGTCCACAACATTCTCAAGAACGGACAGAGCTACGGGCCGAGAGAACAGGGATGTTCTACATTAGAAAGCGGACGTTCGTTACGATATAAAGATAATCACTTTAGAAGATAATGAGCCGCGCCGATTTGGTTTTAGTTATTTATTAGTGATGATTGGTGATTTATTAGCAATGATGCAGATTTTGAAGTGGCAAACACGTAATACAGAGATCGCTGGTTCGCGTTCTATAGGTGAACGAGCCTAACAGTTACCTTACGCAGCAGTTTCCTCACAGCAGCAGCACGAAGCGCTACGAACATGATCATTGTACAAGAGGCGGTCTATCGCACAGTTAGTGTGAAGAACGGTTGCCAGGAGGTGAGCAAGTGTCCAAACGAGGATTTAAACCTTGTGGCAAGTCACTAAAAGGCAGGGATGCGATCGCTTCGTCGCTAACTTTTCAGTAAAGTGCACGATAGATAAGCCTAGAACCATCATCTCATTGATGTTCACTATAGACATGCTTTTCCTTGTTCGGCTACCGTTTTGGCCTGCTTTTTATTCGGGCCGTTGCCACAGAGCTGTACACATCCAGAAGCCTTATTCATCTGCTTTGCACCGACGTATTATCACATTAAACGCACACTAGCTCGTACGTCCACATTCGTACTCATACAGGCTCATTCGTGAAAAAAGCAACTAATTCCATCTTTCAAAGAGGCACGCTAAAAAAAAGAAGGCGTATAGTTTATAGCTGTGAAAATAAAAGCGAATGTGACTGCAAATAGTCAATAAATAAGGGGAAACATAAGTTTTGAATATGAAGTTGGGGGCAAATGAAACGGATCCCACTATTAGTTCGTTTTCTTTTTGTCTAAGTTTCTCGATTTTGTCAAGCCCAAACTCGCTCTTAGCTTGGCCAAACAGCTGTAACATTATTCAATTGGATATCGTATTCTTTACACCATGTAGGAAAACGTATTGCCGATTCGAAGAGGCCCGCCGCTGCTATCGGCGTAAAGCACTGCTCTTATGCCGATAGCAGCACTTGCCTTGATCAAGTATCATTCACCTTTATCACCTACAAGCAGCTTACTTCAATACGGTAATGGAGCTCGCATCGCCATAAGTCGTCATGTGAACGTTAACGAGCGTGTGGCCTCAAAGAGAATTTGTTCTAATTCCAGTGGCTGAAGTCTTTGCGATATACTTACATAGCAGGAAAAGCTAGATAAGATAGCTAACGACATTCTAGGGTTGCGTCGAAAGAAGATATCAATGTTTGAGGACCAAATCTTCCAGCTAACGAGAGCTTGCTTGACAGTCAGCTTGCAGAATGGTGAGGAAATATCGTGATTATGAAAGTTATGTGACAAATATCTACTTAAAAGTAAGTACATCAGTACATACGAAATCGTTGACCTTCAACTCCGAGATTGGAGGTGGTTGAAGTTGTTTTAGCTAGTGGTTTGCATCGAGAAAATCCTCCTCTTTTTTTTTTTTTGGTTCCCACAAAAGCTCGTATATACATTTGCCTAAACTGATATTAACTATACTTTAGTTCAAGAAAAGATAGAATACTAGGAACTCCGTAATAAAGAAATAAATAGATTTGTAAATCACTTAGTCGGGTGATATCTACGCAAGCACAAACGTATCGTTGCCGCTCTGCTGACATTTTCTTTGTAATATATTTTTCTAATACTTAGCGGATAGTTTCACTAGTTGTGAGTATCCCTGGTACTGACATTCGACAGAAGTCAAATTGTGAAAGGCTAGCGGTTTATTGTAATGAGCCTAACTCCTATTGCGGTTTCCCTTTCAGACGGTGCCATTATCACGAACGTCCGCTACCTTTTGCATCTTCTCTACGCATAGCTATCACAAGCCATCCAACTTCTCAGAACATGTTTCTCACGTCAGAACAGCATTTGCTCCAACCCCGCAGCCTGCTGACGCTATTTCGAAAACCAGTTCCTGCGGCTGCTATGAAGTTAGTGGTTTCCCCGTCGCTCGCTCGCTCCTCGTTGCTTCGCAACGGCCTTCACCTTGGGGCGAACCACATCCTCATTGGATGAGGCTCGAAGCCCAAAGAATTGATTTCCCACGTGAGAACAAACCATTGCGCTTCAACCGCTAACGCTGTGGGAGCCTTCACTGCATTCCGTAGGTCGATAACAGCTTCTCTGGTGACCTGACCAACTTGGCGAGCACATTCCTCGTTTGACCGTGTCCTGCTGTTTCATTAACCCGCAGTGCCCACTTTTGGCCGCATGCCATCATTGCTTCAAATATCGCCACTTCCAATGGCTCAGAGGAAACACACGCTGGAAATAACTGCTGTACTAGAAAAATGTTTTACGGGGAAATAGTGTATATAGGAAAAACCAGTTCGAAAAGAGCGCCTAAGATCAAAAAGAGATGTGTGGAGTTATATTAGGTTAGGTAATCTGGTGACGAATATCACTATATATATATATATATATATATAGAAGCGCTGAGAGGTGCAGCACTGTGCTATAAAATCTTTAGTTCGTGTTTTTCTATCGGTAGCTTAAAATGACGATATTCGGGAAAATTGTGGACCTCGATAGAGTAGCGATGTAGAGGCGGTAAGACGCGCGAAGGGGAATAACAGCCCAGGTGTCCCAGTTTCCGTGAGTAAAACCGTTCATTTCACAATAGATTATCATATGAGTTTGAACAAGGCATGAAACATACAATGCATAATTGTCGTCTGAATGCCTCGCGACTATTTACAACTGTCTCAAAATAAAACAAAAGGTCTGAATAGATAATAGAAACGAAAACGGAAATAATAGGGCAGATCTAAATGTTTACTTTTAAACGAATTAGCGGACGACTACTTCGTTCTATTGCATTTCGTCTGCTTAGTGACAAACAATAGCGAACAGTTTGCTACTACGAAATGTTGGCTGGATGGAAAAAGGCTTGTCGTACCCTACGACCATAACAATCAGTTACGCGAGAGAGGTAAATTAATAGGAAACAAAAGACCGCCAATTGAGAGTTGTAGAACGGTAGAATCATGCTATATATAGGACAGTTGTACGATACCAATACTATTTCATTCGAGAATGTTCTAGTAAATTCTATAAACATTGCTAAGCAGATCGCGAGAATTCGGCGGCTCGTTAGTCGAGAGTAGATCAATAGCGCCTTCATATTATTCGAATTACTTCGATGTGTCGATTGGCGCGCCTGGTAATCCCAAAACACGTGGGGAGGTACATTGATCTGACACTGAAACAGTCAGGATTTGTGAGCTGTACAAATAGCAATCTCACTCCAGGCGGAGCTAATGGCAGGAAACGTCCTGAGAGAAACAGCTTTCCAGCAAAGACTAGGTCCAGCCGTATCGAACCGATTAAGCGTATGCCTTAACAATTTTATTGGGACGAAGTTATTCGTCATTAGAACAGTGGCCACAGGTTTAGAATAAACCTAGACTAGAATAGTCACAAAACTCAATTAAAAGGTCGCTAATTTTGTTGTAATGATGCTAGATTTTAGAAGTTGCGTTGCACCATATAGGACTTTTTTATAAAAGAAAAACACATAGTAGTCAATAATGGAGACAGCCAATCAATGGGGTGGACGTCCTACGGGACTTACGTCTTCAGCGACACTATAAGGACAACAAATCCCGCTCTCCAGCTGGCGTTCTTTCTTCTGTGCAGGTCAAAGCACAATTTACGGTGTTTCTTCTTAGTACAGTTGAGGTATCCTTAATCTTCGTACGATTACTTTATAAAACAATGTGTGAAGTGCCTTGTTTCGAACGCCACGGCCTTTTCGAACTTCGCTGGTAGACGCTTGATTTCTAACGAAAAATTGACCTAATTTTTATACTAATTCTTTAGATCCTCGTTCTCCGATTCGCTCGAAGGTATATGTGAATCGTGGCGTACTGCTTTGATTACGAACCAGACGAAACATAATTAATTGAAACTAGGTCGGGCAAGTAAACCTGTAGCAGGATAATTTGTTAGGCAAACTCGTTTTTTCGTTAAGTTCATGTCGATAATCTAACAACGCTAATGGTTGCGTTGACAGAAATAGTTCCACTTTAGCTTTTTGACAATTTCGTGCAGTTAATGGAACCTTTGCATGGCTTGTTGTCGATGACGGTTAATGGTGACTATCTCTTTAAATTTGAATGCCTATTAAGGATGAATTTCTCCATATGCCAAGTGCACTATGGCGGCAGCGGCCAGTCTGGATTCCTCTAGCTCTCGATCAACTCTCTTATTCAATACATTAGCGTTAAATTTTTTTGGTGGCCATTTACCCTAACGGCTGCTAGATCGGAGTCTTCGGAACTATGGTTCTATACCTGCACATTTCTGAATAGACGGTATTTGAAGGCAACTTAGTGGTTGCAACAGCACTTTCCTTTAAATTTTCACTCGATTGGTTCGACTACACATTTCGATCCGACAATGGCTCTTTAAACGCTTCTACATTAGTAATAAATGAAGGTAATTTACGTCGTAAAAAGACGAGAATTTTGTCGATGGACGCCTTCGGTACCGGGTCGTATCACATATTCAGAGATCTTCCTGCACATACATGAGTGGCAAAATTGATCTAACAAATTCGTATTTCTAAGTAGAAAATAAAACCAGCTTGAATTTGCTTCGTGTCAATTTATATAAATTGAAACGACTTTACGTAATTTGCCCCGCTATCCAAAAATTTATATTCTTCTGTGTATCTGGATGCTTCTACATGAAGAGGAGAACCTGCGGAGGCCTTCTCATCAGTCACGTGTACACAACTGTAGGGGCAGGTTGACAATGCGTTTCCCCTTCGAGCGCTATATTGGCGCTATTGTTGCGGCCGTTGTCGGTGAGGTTCGGCCCAGTGGAACGTCGTCCGCTTGCTTGGCACCATCGCTAAGAGGTGACAGGGCATCTTTCAGTCAGATGCTCCTGATTCGCAGGACGTTTTTTCGTCCTGCTCCTGCTGACAGCAACGATGATAACGCGTCCAGAGGTAGTAGCAGGTCTCGCCTTAAGCGCTTTGATTCTTCAGAGTGACCTTCCTTCCTGTTGGCATCTGGCCAGACGCTCTCTAAACAACAGCGAAGGAAATATTTTGCTGAAGTAGCATTAGAGAACTCTGCCAAATAGTTTGTTCCTTCTCAGAGAGGGTTCGTGTGTACGGATCATGGATTATGAAATTTAAAAATGTTTTGTTTACCCTTAATGAACACACAACACACATATAGGAGCAGAAACGTTTCGGCCGATAATATGCCAGGCGAACGATCTATTGCGGTGTACCTAAATAGACGATGACATATACCAATGACTTAAACCCGAAAACATCGTGCTACCGAGCCAGCGTTGGTGTACCTGCATACGTGATATATTAAGCAGGCACAGAGTATGTTGGCTCAATCTGTGTTTGTAAGACAAAATTTCGATTATTGATTGGGAACAGAGACTGTTAAATTTACTTAAAGCGATAAGTGAGAATAACCGTTGCCTCTGTAAAGAAGTGTTCTCTGAACATTTCACTAAACAAGAACGTAACAGGTATCCATGTATTTTGGCTTTTGAATGAATTTGTTGCGTCAACATTTGCCGAATTGTTTTGGTTAAGGAAACGACTGTCATGGTTGGAAAGCGGACTGTTTATAGAGTATCTGCCTTCTAAGTTTCGTCCTTTATATTTTTCGTAGCCAGCATATGTATCGGGTATATGATAGCTATTGAATTTAACTTTTTCGCTGAATCTGACGAAGCTAGGTTTTTTTTTTATTATAATGTGAAATCTATTAGTGGTCTGTTCTTCATCCCGTTAATTGTGATAAGGTAATTAAGCTTTACCCCTGGGGTGAGTGTTTAATTTTACATGAGTATCATTTGACCTCATCGTCTAAAAGGCTATTTAAGATCTATAGGTTTGAATAATTTTAGTCTATTTAGACTATACTAGATATTTACTAAACTAACATCATGTAACATTCTTGATGCAAAGAAGTGCGAGACTTCGATGTGCTTCTTGTGCTTATAATCCAGTATCATCTCAGCAGCGTGAAGAAAACGTGTTGTTATGGTAATTTCAAAACAGAAAATTCTATTATTTTGAGTTAGGCATAAATCAACAAAAAATTTTCTATATTTTAAAATAATGTTACTACAATAAAAATGTACCATTTTGATCGATGGCCTTTTGTCATTTTTCTAGTAACACCACAATCCCATCTCTGTAGGACGTTTCAGATTTTTGGGCGAAGAATTGGACCAAGCAATTTTTGCATCTCTTCATGGAAGTCACATAACACCACTAGGGCGGTCCTGCAAAGACCGAAACAGGTAATGGTCTAATCGTCCAACTACGGGCTGGGTGGCGAATGCATTAACATTTTCCATCTAACATCTCTCGATTTTCTCCGGGTGTCTAAGGGTGTATGTGGTCCGGCAACGTGCTAGCGGAAGATGCCGCCTTTCCTGTTCCTATTTTTTTCAAGGTTTGCTATAACTTTACGGGTCGTTAACATCAGACGAAACGGTCGAATCGATCATTTTTTCAGACAGCAGCGATTAACAGGGGACAATTTTTTCCGACCTCGTGTCAGTTCGAGCTTTGCCAGAGATAGTGGAGCATATTTTTTGATACTTTTGTATTTGCACATTATCGACGTATGTGATCCAATTTTCACCAGCTCTCAAATCGCTTGACTTTGTTACGGTTTCATCGGTAGTGTTTTCTCAATGAAAATACGAACGAGTATGCTTGTATGGTATCCAAGCGAACTTTTTGAGATTTTCGTGGCTAGCTTTCTTCAAATTAGTCAATTTGCGATATTAAGGCCACTTTTTTTGCTGCCGGTTTGGTTCAAGTCTCGCAATAATTTCCTCTATCCCTAATTAGTCGATCAGAATTATCTTTGGCCTGTTTCATCGAATAACGCGGCCTATCTTGCCTATGTCTAACACAAATTTTTCATGAGTTCGGGCAGCATTTGTGACTTTATCGTAAAAAAAAATGGTGAAATATAGCCAAACTGTCAGAAACTTCGTTCGTCTTTAAACCGCTTTATCATGTCCAAGTGAACATACCTCATTGAACAGTACCTTAAATGATATAAACGACAGCCTGCTGCGATCCATGTTGTGTAAAATACGAAACTTTGAATAGATGAATCCTCATATAAAGAACTACAAATATTATAGCCGACAGTGCTGCATCTCCATCGGTGGGTTCCAGTCCCAAGCGAAAGTATACTAAGTGTTCCGAGCAATGCATCTTGCACGCCTGCGACAACCCATTAATGTAAATGTAAACTTTGACAGATATGGCTATGAGACTTCACATTTAATTGGTGAACTTTTCTATAGAATATGTGTCAAATTCTGGGTCTATGATTGCGCCGATTATCATACGATAGGAAAAGTGCGAAAAGAATGCTGAAGAACGGGACTTCATTTAAAAAGGGCAGAGCTTCATACTTTTAGTTTCGGAGTCATACTTGCAAACTGCCCGATACCGTATTGTTGGGCGTTTTTGGGAAACGTCGTAACGTTTTCATCTATAGTTGTAGTCAAAATCGATTTGGTTTAGGTTATTAGAATATAATTATATTTCTAGGGTGTTATTGGTTCATACGATCTATGCATGTTATATTTACATATCCCATAATCTCCTTAGTTTTAATAGGCTAAAGCAATTGCTCTGCTAACTTACGCTGAATATGACCTTGCTTTTGTTTCTCATCTACTTAATTGTGGGAAATCCGTTACGGTTGTTTACCCATATAATTAGGCTGTAGGTGGCGGTGTTGCTAATGGGCGTAACAGACGCCGATGGCGACAGCAAAGAAAAGTCGCGGCCGTAAATTATAATGCACGAGGGACCGCTTACGAATCGGAAGTCGTTACTTCAGGAAGACTGCACAACCTGACCGGATAGGCCGTCAGCCCGAACTCAGCGTATCATATACAAGGGCGTCTACGTACGTTTCTACGTACTTGTTGGAACAATGCTCGTACTGTGCCGAGCAGCATAGCTTTCCTCAATATACACCGATACATATGAAATAGCTAAGACGTGAACAAAATAAATGTTCTGTTCGTGTTACGGGTATCATGTAATGGTTCGCGGCCTCGCACATATCAACCCAACAAAGCTGATAGTTAAAGAGATACGAAGGCATATGCATTAACATTTATAATCAAATACGGAGAAAGATAGAAAAAAAAACACGGATATCAATGAAAAAAGCTCTGTTCTAGAAGTGTCATTACTGACATATCCTTAGATGAAACGACTAACTCGACGGCGACAGATGGAAAAATACCGAGTCGTAAGGCTTTTAGTTGCTATGTAATCTGTTTGTTTCAAGTAAATCGCATACATCATAAAGAAAAAAAAAAAAGTAAAAATGATGGGTGTGTTTACGGTGAGCTAAGGAAATGCAAGATTGACCTAATATTTGTTCCAAGTAGCCAGCCTTGAATAAGACGTGTGTAAAGATGCCCCAGAATTAAGCATAGGTTTCCTCCACAGGGCACAAATCTGCAGCGAAGTATTTATAGCAGAAAGTTTTGAAAACATGACGTAATTTGACTACCTTATAAAAAGCCACCATAGAAATAAAACAAAGCTTTCAGAAGCGAAAGAGATTTTTCAATTATATTTTTTCAAATTTTATTTAACATTCTTAGTCGACTTCTCTATGTGAATAGCTCTCGGAATCACCCCTTTTAGGTGCAACATCATAGACTTGCCCCCTAGTAGAAGTTTAAGCCAGATAGGCCTTGCTAGACTTATCTGAGCAGCAGACCTATGATATGGGATGCTAACATGACAAGCGCCTATTAACCTTGGTAATAATAATAATTCCCTACATTCGTAATTTTTTTAATTCTTACTTACCTACTTGTTCGTTAAAGTCACGATACTTCGATAGACACACATCTAGGTTATGGCGTTCCTGAAAAGCGAACTCTATTTAATATCTTCACCCTGTAGTCTAACGTACAATCTAATCAAATGTCCCGCTCCCCATCGTTGCCTTATTTTTCACTCTGGTAACAGACAATGGCCTGCATTACGCAACGCTTTTAAGAATGAATTTACATAATGACGATTGGAGCACGATATTCTGTTGTAATTGAAAAAGTAAACTAACGATTAAAAAAAACTAAGTAATAATAAACACTTGTACTTTATTACATTTTTTTAATAAACGAACTTACTATTTCATTTTATGCCCATATGCCTAAATGGTCTCTCTCGTCGATTCGAAGAGCTCCATTCGATCTGCAGCATCTCTCTATCTTTTTATTGATATTACACTTGGCAGCTGGTTAAAGCACTTACTTAACCCATTAAAGATGTAGACTTCATTCATACTTTTACTATGTCCTGCTTCAAATGAAATATTCAGATTATCAGTGCCAAACCTACGTAAAATTGTAATTAGCCAATAACGTATTTTAGAGTTCTTAGTAATCAAGCTTGGCATCGGCGGTTTGGTAAGTGAGGGTCTGTCAACTAAGTAAGTACCATATGAATACTTTAAAAGTCTAATAAAGTAATGGTCTATACAACGCATTAATCTTTAAACAAGTAATTGAGCAAATCGTAAATTTACAAGTATTAAGACAGAGCTATCTTATAGTGCTCCGTGGGTAACAAAGTTGACAGGACGCCTTGCCGGCTTCGAATTCTACATAGGCATGCTCTGTGTTTGTGTTTAGAGAATTTTAAAAAACGCGCGCCTATCTATATGTACGCTTACATTTTGCCGGCGCCTGGAACGAAGTTCACTATTCATTCCTGCGTATTTCGAGAAGCGACACCAAACTCTGTTTCTAGGAGAAGTGCCATTGATTGGACTTAGCCAGCGCACCTAAACTGGTTTAAGTTGTGTTGTTTTTTATTCTGTCCTAACAGAAATAAATCTCCAGTGTTAATAATTTCTAAGATACGGTTTCTTTCACACTTCAGCACATTATCATATTTACAAAACTGAATAGCAATATCCGGTTTACTAAATTTGTAGATGATGTCTATTTCAGTGCGAAAACATCGAATACCACTTTTTCATTCATGTTAGCTTATTCGCCAAGTTACTGAGTAAGTTATAGGAATAAGCGCGAAAACAACTTTCTACATGGCCTGTTAGTGCCTATTTCATCTCATAGACCCTATTCTGCAATTTTCCAAAAGTCTTCCTTCCTTCTTCAAAGCTTAGCTCTTATACATATTATTTTACCTGCCCATGTTTTATTTTCTGGGCTCTTTTTTCCGTATTTTATGGAGTAACGGCAACGAGCTTGTGGATATGACGTACGATGATTTTCAGGCTAACTTTCAAGCTGAAGAATCGTTATGGTAAAACTGTACTTTTTTTTATTTAATAAGGTTATTAATCTATATTGTGTTTTTGATGGTAAAAAAATCGTTGCATGATGTCGCCATTTTTCGCTTTAGATGACTAACAAGAAAAATTTCGCGTGTCCAAGAAAAACGGTCTCCGTTGACTTTCTATTGATGTCAGTTAGGCGGTAGACGCTTCGCCTATTTTAGCGCACTGTCTTAGCAGAAGAAAGGTAAAGAAGTTTCTTCAACAGTTGTATGCCTCCGATCCTCTTTGCACCTTCTTTTCTCTAATTTCTAATGGTTCGTTAAAACATCGTTTTGGTAACACTTTTGATCTGTTGTGAATAGACCCGATAACCCTTTTACAAGAGGTTTTGTTCATCATGAAATATTCGAGGACATGTTTTAAATACCGCCGCGTTGATATGATTCATGTATGTGCAATGACATCCTTGTTCGTTCAGCTGCGTATCAAGAGCCGTAGTGGTACCTTGTTATCCCGCCTCTAAAACCTTTCTATCGGGTTATTAACGGATCCTCCTTTGACTGCATTTAAATTCAGCCTATTCTCACCTTAATACACGAAGTCCTTTAACTCCGAAAATTTTCCAAAGATCCAGTGACGTTGTAAATTCATTATTTGCCGATGTCTAAATTGTTTTTTTGTAGAACTAGAACTTTGAATTGATTGTTTTAAAAATTCAGCGCTCGCCTAATATCGATACTGTTTCATCTGCTTCCGTCTACTGGCTGTTCAGCTTAAAACAAACTAATTAACGCTATGATTTATTCAGGGCACAAAAAGCAGGTTTTCTAGATATCTGCACACAGTTTTGACTAGTTTAGAGCAAGCTGAATACGTAATGGTTCACAGTGTAGATTAAACAATAGAAATATCAGCTGAAAATGAAGGCCCCATTGTATGTATTCTATTTTTTTTATTTGCATAAAAGGTTTAAGTGGTAAAATTATGTTTGTCCAACGTGTGTCCAGTGGCAGGCTTAGTCTTAATGGTTGGACCTAATCTCATCGAAACTGCTACTCACTAGTTCTTAATTCTTGTTTCAAAACTTACTACGCAGCGACCCAGATCTTCATTTATCAGCACTACAGGCATCAGATAGTAGCGTTATCATAGAGAATAGTACTTGTTGATTGACAAGTCCGAAAACGATTTAAATATTACTATATATCAGTTCTGGAGTGATGAACATACGAATTACGTTAATATTAATATGTTTTGAATTTTTCTCTTTATTTTTAGCTTAGGAAGATCCTCATTTAATTTCCTCAAAACCTATAATGACGAAGGTTTCACCCTATCGTGACCGGAAGCATTGAAAAATTTCGATAAAAACTTTTTCCAAAATGAAGTATGGACAGATTGAGATCAACCACGTTGATCAAGTTCAACTACACATTATCTTCCGGATAAGTCTAGTTATATTTAGTTATGGCATATTGTGTTAATATAACTATAGCTGCTTCATCCTCGTTCATGGTCCACCACAGCAAGCTATGCTAAATTATTCTAATCAGTATTCCCTCTGGTCAGTGACAGGTTGACTCGTTGCATGCATTTTGATCTTCTCTGCGTAGTCGTTGGGTTTGAAATTCTATGTAAACGAAAATCTAATGTAAAGAGAGTCATAAAGATGTCGTGGAACTAATATTGAACCGCCGGCTGTTTTGTATTGTTGCATTGAACAGCTTTTTGGAACAGGAGACTGCCTTTTGAAAAATAATCATTAGATACTATAGAAATTTCAACCTACATGAGCTGAATAGGTGAACTGCTAAACGAACTGGCGTGCCACTTTCGAGACGTTTATTTATTAGTTTTTTTTTCTTCGTAAATCGATCCATGTTATTCTGCTATGGCTTCACGAAGTTGATTACCTCGATGATTTTCCTAAACTCGTACAGCCGTAGTCTTTGGAGAATAAATACGACCTTCGCATAGCCCGAGTTGTACGAAGGTGTCTCATGGGTAACATGTTTTAAAATTTCTTGATCTCTGCCTGATAGAGATGTAGAGGTTATGTAATATATAGCAAATGAGTTAGAGTTTAGCCCCTTACGCATCCCGTTTGAGTAATAGGCCTTATTACCTTTAGTGAACATTTTGAAACTTGCGCTTCAGAACTCTTGCCACGTGAATTAACTACTTGGCTAAACTCTTCAATATCTGTTATACTTGATGATGCTCAATAGAGAGTCCACTCAGCCAGAATGGGAAACAATTACCTCACCGCTGCGCTGCTATATGATCACACTTTCGTATCAGTATGTGAGTCACTCATTAATAGCTCTCACTGGCAGCATTATTCTTTCACGAAATAATTCTTGATTGTATTACGTGCTTCACCATACTTCATTCATATATGCTTCACTATTCTTATTCCATATAGACATGCTCTTTAGCGTAATAACTTTAGACCGAATTTATTTGGTCACTTTTTGGTTGTTTTTGTGCAAATTTGACCCTGATCATCTGTCGTCAATCGAGAAAAATGCTCCGTTGAAAACACAAGATGGATGAGAACAAATAGAAGATTACCAAGTTGGGTCCTTTTCCATTCAGTTTACTTTCTTAGATTACATATTTCACCGCTTTCTTGTTTTCTTTTCTAAATAGGTAAATGCCAGATAGAAATAGGGAAGCGGCAAAAAAAAAAAACAGTTGCGGGAGTTATTGGAGAGGTTCCGTTAGAATAAATTTATTTTTGAAAGTGTTTCCAACATTGAGGTATAAGATTTGAAATGACCGCCTCTTTGCTGCACAGCGCCACATCGTATAATAAAAAGCATCAAATGAGCGATACTACAGTACAGTCGGTCCGTATTGAAGCAGAATTCGACATCGCGCCTCGTACCATGGCCAAGCTCCACCAATCACAGCTGCAAATTGGTCCCTTTTAGTCGTGGATTAAGATGAATGTTTCTATACAGGGCTATCGTTCAATCAAAGGCTAAAGTTCAAAATGAAAGCGTCGCTTTAGGCGACCGACAACAGGTTGCGAACTTTAACTAATTCACTAGTACAGTCATTGTTGTATCAACGTTTATATTATGTTTCTTTTATATAATGTAGGTATTGTGCATAATAGCAATATGTTCAAAACAGGCTTTGTATCAATATGAGTATAATCTCTGCAATATGTCTTCTGTTAGTGACAGTTATGAGATATCA